TACTGCAGATTGTCTCCGATTTTTGATAAAGTAATTTCTATATCTCGAAGATCGTGAAAGTCTATTTAGAAAGCCTTTGCAATATAAAATAGAAACAAGTAAACCAAACTGAATAATATTCTTGTAAAATTTTTAACATGAACACTTTAAATTTGCTCATACCTCTTCCAACATTCTCAAATTGGAAATTCATTTTTTCTATCACTTACTCACACCTCATGCTAACTGTTGATATTAAAACCTTTTTTTATCACACGGTCAAGAATCAACAGTTCACAAAAATGTCAAACAAAACTTGTTATATTTCGAAAGAAAATCTTATCGCATGGTATGTTTTATTTGAAAGTTGTTCATAAACGAGCTATAAGGATGTAATTGCGTGCAAAATTTCAAACAGGACATCCTGCATTCCTATTTACTTTGTAGATGTATAATTGTGTATGACATATATGGATATCAGGCCGAGACGATTTAAAGCGTTGTAAATCCGGCGGAAAGGACGGTAAATCGCACGCTGGAACCAACCTCCGTGTAACCACTATCCGTGACACCCGACGCCCACGCGTTTGTCATTCGGGGGACCAGTTAATTGGTCTTTCATGAGCGCGCAGTGATTTGAGGTTGATATAGTGCGCGGAGAATTGAGTGCGGATCACGTAATGGAGAACGTTAGTGTAATTGAATCAAAAACTTTTCAAAAATCGCTTGTGTAGGATATAATTTGTATGGTGCATTGGATACTTCATTCTTAATAGGTAAACAGTCTGTATTTGATATTATTTCATGATATTAAGTAGTACTGTAATGTATAAAGCTGCATAATACTACAGCGAATAATAATTTTTATTATTTATATTATATTTGATTGTTTTCTGGAGATGGAGGTGCTGATGATATTTGAAGCTTCGTCTGTTTTTTTTTTAATAGAATGGGATATTTTTTATACATCAGACGATGCAACTAGACATTCTTTATAAGAAAGCAGTGATCTGTATCAATACTTTTTTATAAAGAATGTTTAGCTGTGTCGTTTGATATATGAAAAAATACACCATTTTATCTCAAAAATCAAAGTTGACCTTCAAATCTCCGTAGCACCTCCATGTGCAGAAAAGTTACATACATCATGTAATGTATCCCTCGAAATCGATCAACGTTTATCTGAAACATTTCTTCCTATGTCAAAAAATGTAAAAACTATTCAGGTGATTTGCCTGAAGTGACTCACCCTGTATAAACATATTGGTGTATGTGTAAGTTAGGCAACGAAAACTATGATAAAAGACATTTCATTCATCATAGTGCTCGTATTAACTGTTTATTTATCGATGAATACTGAATAGAACTGTCTCAGGAAGCATTATTGGTGTAGCGACAATGGCCATCGCTTTGTCTACGTCTCCGCTACACGTATGTACGTTATATTGACAGAGGAGAATTTAGTAAGGCCATAATTTACCGATGCTCATAAATCGTTTTGAGGCAACACCATTCCGCTATGAATGTTGTGTCACAAAGTTTTTTTGTCCTGAAATCGTTTTCGCGATCTTCGATATATTGATGAATAATGGAACATGTATTTAGTCAAGTATACATATTTAGATATCTAACGTTCAGTTCTATAAAGGAAGCATTCTGGTCCCGTTGAAAGCAACGTCATTTGAATGTCTTCTTCTAGAAATAAATTATACTTGTACATACTAAGTTCACCACATTAACAGTAAAGGATTTTCGGGTCTTCTTCGATTTCGTGTTTCTTTGTATGTTCCGAACTAATTTAATAATAACAAAATTATAATTAAACATAATAAACAACTTTCTTCTTTTCTTTTACCATGATATTAATAATTCATTTTGTAAATTGTATAACATATTAATAACAATGATGTTTAGAATTATATTAACACATTGCGTACTGCATAGAAATCTCCAATTGTAAGACATAGGCCAGGGACCGCACGTTTTTAGGTAAACTGCACATTATTTAAATCATCATAATTACAGATCATAATGAATTTTAGGGGTTGTTTTTCAATAATTGTAACATTTTTATTTACAAAAAATTAAACTTTTAAACAATTAAACAACTAATTAAACGATTAAACAATTAAAGTTCCTATTACTTTTTTAATACTACGTAATTGAATAAGTAGGAAAAATTCAAGAGCTAAAGAAATAATTTTTGTGAAATATCAATTATTATAAATAGCTTTCAAATTACTAAGAGAGCAATGAATCTGGAAACTGATTTCATAGGCTGATACATCAATCTCTCGCGTGAAACCTCGTTCTTTTGTACAATTCTTGCCCGATTAACTTTAACCACGCGGTCGTAAATTATCTTCCATCTCGTCCCGTAAACGTGAAATTAGGACTTACCCTCTGGTAAGTCCGAGGGCTTTTCGTTCCATTCTTGGTCCGCTTCGATCTTGATCGGCGACCTTACGCGTTCGAGGGAGAAGCAATTTTCACAATCCGTGCCGATGATGATCTTCGATTACCATTCCGCTCAGTATTATCGCGTCAGCACCTTGCCCCTACTGCAAAAATAAGCTAAACTTCTATCAAACTAACAATTGTTTACAAATTAATAGTTTATAAGAGTGTAACTGATTAGTATTGATTTCTGCCGAAGGGAAATTATAATTGTTTCTAAGTATAATGTTTTTAGATCTGTTGTATAGAAGATTCTCGTCATGATTATGGCACTTTTAGCAGTATCAAATGTGAAATGGTTACATTTTCATCTCATGAATCTTCCAGCCTTGGCTCTCTCGACAGGTGAAATCTCACAGTAGAGGAGCTGACCTCGAACTCCAGTCAACTGTCGACTTTCCCTTCGGGCAACATCGTGGACGTTAGTGGGTGCAGGTGGCATAAATTCCATCATTTGTTTCTTTTTTTGAGTTTTCATTTTTCTTTCTGTCCTCGGCTGAAAACTCTTTGGAAATGAGAGGCGAGTTGCGGAAAAGTTCTGAAGTAAGAAAAGGTTCCTTTAGTGTGCGGAATGGGAACTGTGTACTGGGGATTGGAGAAACGATTTAGTTGATAAATCGGTTATGCGAATGCGAATATTTATTTCGCGAATGCGGATTTCACGATACATTTGGTTTTATCGCGTTCTTGAGAATTACGAGTGGACGTAAGAAGTTCCTCAAAATTGAACTTTCGAAAGATTGAAATTGAATAAATAAAATAGAATGAATAAGGAATAATGAAGCAAATCAGAAAAATAATTACAAAACGTATATTTTTTATAGGTGTCTTTATTAACAGCTTAGCGTTCGCGACGATATGGCTATAAATGAAGCTTCTCCGTTTTTAAATGAACGTTTAATTAGCCGGGATGTTCTTTCTCGACAAGCAAAGAAAAATCAATCGTCCTACGTTTCTCATTAAACAGTTGATGAATATTCATGAGTAACGCGATTTCTTCTGGCCTAGGCCAGTTTCCTTCGACGAGGAACAAAGATAGAGAAACAAACGAAGGCTCGAGCTCGCGCAAACGAACAGTTAAGTTTCATCGAGCGCTCAATTATTCATGGGAAATTCAATCATACGCTCTCCTGGCGGCCCATTCCAAAATTAAGTGTCCTCATTAACATTTTTCCCTCCTCCTGCTACTCTCACCAAGTGTAAAACTTTCTATTGCAACGATAATTAAACTTTTCTTACTAATCTCTTTAAGAAGTTCTGAAAAACCTAAAATTTAACAAAAGAATATTAATTTACCAAACATTGAATATTCATTTATATAAAATTCCAATGCTCGGGCTTTTAATTAGATTCGTGCATTATTTAAGGCAGGACATAATTGATTTGTGTAAACTTAGGAGTAAAGTTAGAGCAAGTGCAACGATGCCGTCGTTTTTCTCCTCGATCGAACAGGACACTTCCTCCCGTTTCTCTCTTCATCGGTGTTCGATAATCCCTAGCCACGGGGATGAAAATTCCTTTCTCTTTCGGTCCGTGGGCAAACTTCATTCAACGATTCGAGGAGAATCCGTAATATCACTCCACGACGCGAAACCCCTTTCCCGTTCGGAAGGATTCTCCTACGTATTTCGTTCACGCTCCGTAAAACTTGAATGTCCACGTAGGAAATCACGATCGGGAGAGCTCATCGTTGCCTGGTCCCAAGAAACAAATGAGCACCAAGTTTATCTTCCTCCTTCGCAAAATAAAGAATCTTCAACTGATTAAAAAACGAGATAAGTGTAAAAAGACAAGATACTGATTCTAATTCGATTCCAAGACTTCTACATTTTCCTTTCAATAATGCTTCAGTAGATGCAGCCAGTATTCTTCTTAATTAATTCTACAATTTTTCGTGATTTATTTTCAATTAGCAAATCAATCCTAGATTTAAAAATGAGATTAGGAAGACAGAAAATGAATTCTATTTCTATTGAGAGTAATCTAATTCAGAAACATCAGATGTCTTTTAATTATCTTTTCACAATTTTTGGCAATTTAATCCTTTCAATTCGTATATACTTTTATCCCAGCTACACAATATTGGAAAGATTGAAGTAAAAGACTACGGAACGTTTGTAAATACATACAGTAGACGTGCAGAGTGAATCAACAAGAGTCGAGATCTAAAACAATACATTTTACTGAGATTCCATTGAAAATGAAATGAAACGAAAATGAATTGCAATTCGTTAAAACTCAGCAGACTGCTAATCCAATGAAAGCTATGAAACACAAACACCATATAAAACATTTTCTAACGAAACAACAGAATAATCAATAATTTTATGATTATTCGTATTGACTGTGCCTGTGTTATTTGAGAATCGTAGAAGCTATCGAGTTACGGTAACGGGTTGCTTCAACTTCGTACCGTAGCCGAGGGTATCACGTGATTTGATCATCAGATCGGTGGGTAGGCAGTAGTCAGAGAACCGAATTAGAAAGCGGGCTAATTGCAGGCCGTTTGCACGCCACCGGCAACTGACCGAAATGCTGAAAACAGGCCGCGCGCCATACCCAGCGCCAACACCGAGTTCTCCTCTGCCTGCAACTTGTGTAGGTTACTACCCCTGATTTACGCCGCGCACGTGCTAAAGCCTTTTGTGGCCTCGCTCCCGTAACTCCGTGCCTTCCCGCTTGATCAAATGGACTTCTTCGAGTTTCGTACTGTTTCTGATTGAACTTAGGTTTAAACATTGCAATAATATGTTTATTAATCATTCGACGAATTTTCTGTTTTTTTAACAAAAGCGAACATGCTGTTATGAAGAATGATCTGATGCAACTGTATCATCTTCAATCATCATCATCTGTAATCATCCTAACTTTTGCTAAAAACAATAACACTTGCTTTTAGAGTAATAATTGAAATTGAGTTGCATAGAATAACACACTTAGAACATAAAAAACAATCATTCTTTCTAAATTTTTATATACAAATTCGATAGCATTTCATTGCTGATAATATTTTCTTATAAATCATATGATTTATAAACAATAAACAATGTGTGTTCAATACCACAGAATAACACAATTAAAACATTGAACAAAAAGAATTGTCCTTCACTTTGATGCATAAGTTTGATGGAATTTTATTACTGATAGTCTAGCAAAAGTAGGGAAATCGTAATTTTCTTCAAAATCAGGCAAGCATGTAGAATCGATAAGAAAGACAGACACGAACCATGCAAGTGTAGATTTTAATTTGACAGTTGACCGGTAATCGGGCTCCTGTCAGAGATATCGTCTCCTTTGTCCTAGATTTACGACGTGCAGTGCATGTCTAATCGATCGTTCAAAACTCCGAACACGAATCCTTAACTTTAATCATTTTTCCAACGAGTATCAGTATTTTTTTGGCGAGCCATGAGAAATTGAGTACGAAAATGCACGCGACAGGTATACTTCAAGCATACATAACTTAAATCTACTATGTATGTATATGTAGTGTCTTACTTATATCTATACATATATAACAATGACCAAATGATGATGACGTACATAACAATGACCAGTGATGCTTTATTTTTTAGATATATATGTATACCTGTGTCAATAATTTTTAGACACCTTCTATATAATTAATAATATAATTACAAATAAATATAAATAATCGATAGATCGGGCATTTATAGAAAAAAGTGTATAGCATGTGAAATTACTATAGAACTTTCTGGAAACACGAAAAAAAAATGTTGTATGATTGATCGAGACATGAATGGAAGATAAAGATTGTAGACAGAGATAGGGAAACACAAGGGGTTTGTAGATAAAATACATATAATAGAGAGTATAAACGCACTGTATGGTATACAGTTCCAGAATATCGTGTAAAAGAGGCAACGGGCAATAGTCATAAATTAATAGCGAGAGTTATATACGGCGGTATGGAACCGTATAATAGATATTGGCTAGGCATTGATAAAAGGATATGTAGTATATGTGAAAGAGGATGGAAAACGTTGAAACACTGGTTAGAGGATTGCGACGACTTACAAAAGAGGAGAATTCTCTATTATGGAAATATTAGAGGATAGAAAAAGGAGAGGAACGTATGTTATACTGTTTCAGAATGTTAAAGAAAGACCATGAAAATAATATAAATTATATTTTTCGTTAGTGTCCGTAGACATGGAGGAATGAACGATGAAACTTTTCAAGATATAAACCAAGTCCTATTCGTGGGTCGATAAGGCTAGAATAAGTACTATAGTACGAAATTATTATTTCTGCAATAAATAATGACATCAATTAATACGATACGAGCACATAAATTATGGGATATATAAAAAACGGGGATTTTAGTATGTGAATACATCAGAATTGCGTGAGATATCTTTCTTTAAATTGCATGAGAGGGTTAAGCCTTGAAATAAATATACAAAGTGTATGTAAGTACGAATTTGGGTTTCACGAGGATTACAGTACCGATAATCTCATTGAGCAAAGTTGCTTAACGAAAAGAATTGTACCCCTCCCATTTATCTTTAACATGATAAAAATGTACATTTATAAAAATTAATGTCAAATTAATTAATGTTATATTATTTAATAGAATATATTTCCCGAAGCTTTTATAAATAGGCTGAAGTTGTGCAGAATAAAACATTTAACGTGAAATCAAAATTAGATTCTTGCACATTAAATTCTTTATACTTATTGCACACTTAATCTTTATACACGTATAAATGCAATGAATCCACAATTTATTTACAGTTGTTCAGGGTTAATAATAAAGACTCTGTACAGATATCAATTACGAATCGTTTGTTGTATTGATCTTCAAATTTTTATGGAATTCAACAATTTCCTCTGAATGCATAAAATGATACTGAATACAGAGAATAAAAAATTGAGAAGAGGGTGAGTAAGATTAAAACCACGGCGGTGTGCAACACATCGTATCATTCACTGCCTCGCGCTTCAGCTTGGCGAATAATTTTGTGCGCGGAAACCAATTCATTTTTTCGTCAGGATGAGATATTGTACGTCGTCGCTGCGAAAGGAAAAGTACGGCCGGTACATATCTTCTGTACTCAGTGCGACCTATATACCATTCGCGTTCAGAAAAGGGCCGCTCGGTGTACATACGTACGTGCATATATCTTCGTGACGAGGACGACGACGGCAATGAAAAGAAAATTGCAGAGCACACCTAGGTTCTGACGTACACCCTGGTCCATAAGTCTTAAGACGAAGTATGCAGCTGAATGAAATTTCGTATGCATATATTTAAACAAATTGGACGTCGCACAATGTGAAACATATAACTAAATGAAATGTTATATCCACATATTTAAATAAATTGCATGTACATGAGACAATGTCGTAGTTGAATAAGTTGTTACATGAAATATATTGTTGCACATATCATATTCTAATGAACGGATATATGTATAAAAAAAAATTTTCTATTTTAAATGTAACAGTATACACATGAGATAAATGAAAGTGTGGTTTAAAATTCATATTTAATTTCATTTTGTTTTAGTAAGATAAATTTCCCAACTTCTGCTCACTGATTTTTATATAATTTTATATCTGCTTAATGATTTAATGATATATCTTGAAATTTTAGAAAAATAAAAAGAATTATGACTTGAACAATATCGTAGATAAAATGTGTTGAAAAATCTCAGGTATTCTCACCTATGAATACGTCGAAACATTTATTCAGAACT